TGAAATATTCAAGGGCTTCTTCACTGACTTTACAAAGATCTGTACAAAGTTGAACCCCTGTTATTAAAACGCCATGATGCTTTTCTTTAAGTAAGGTGGCAGCAGGATTAATGAAATTTTCCGCCAGCTCAGGGACTTTCCTTATAATCCTTATAGAGCACAATGCTGCCTACATTTGACGGGAGTGTAGTCAGCTCAAACTATAAAAAAAAAATTTAAAAAAAAAAAAATTGATACAAGAAACATAAGGAAAGAAACAAAAGATAAAAGCGAAATTATCACACAATTTGAGGGAAAAAAACACACGTAAATTTTCCCAAACAAGATCCAAATGTCAAATTTCAACACTTTGACTAGTTTTTGTCCTTCAAAAAGAACGAGTAGCCACCAGAAAAAGATGATATGTACAACAAATTTAGAGTTGGCTAATTTGGGATCAAACTTCTGCTGCATAAGAAATTCTAGCTTGCATATATTTATTTAGTACAGCTTCAGACAGTTGCATTTTAGGTGCATAAGAGATGAACTAAAAATTTGTAAAAGCAAATTCCAAAAGCAGACCATCACAACAAAAAAGCTGGTTTGCACAGAAACTCAATGACCAGATAGTTTAAGTGTTTGCAGACCATAAGAACTAATATTAGACATTAACTAAATATGTAGCAGATATCCATAACAGGACATTTAGTTTCCTTCCTGAACAAAACAATATGTAAGAAATTCAGCCATGTGCATAATAAACGGTGCAGAATCTTGGCATCGTTCAAGGAAAGAACCTTGAAGATTAAATCATATGATATAGTTCTTGCATCTAGTAATGAAATAATTTGATAAGGCAACCATGACATGGTTTCCGGTTTACTGCCCATGACCTAAACAATTTTTATACAAGAAATTTTATGAAAAAGGGAACTCAAAGAATGTCATTATCAACACTTTCCAGAATGGTAAAACTAATTTCAAGGGTTAGAATAGTTATGGCCATTCCTTCTCCCTTCCATATTTCCAATCTTGTGAAGTTAACATATGATGCCATACACGAGTTTCAAAAACAACAAAATCTTGGCCTGAATCCATGAAAGTATATTAGTACCTTTTTCCGGATATTTGGATCTCGAAATTGCAACAACCTTTCCACTTCTGGTGCAAGATCACGAGCCATTTCGGCTGAACAAATATTTCCCAGAGCACAAAGAGCAAGTCCCACAATATATTGGTTTGTGTGATTGAGATCTCTGCATATCAGTTAAGGTTGCTACCAGGAAATACAAATTTACACTATCTTGTGTGCTTGTGAGAGTACTGTATCTTTGACGACTTATTCATTGATATTAAAGCGGGGGGAAAAGCAGGTCAGAGTGAGAAATGCTTTTTCTAATGAAATAGTCATTTAAGAGTTGGATACTGTTTCAATGAGTTTGTGACCAACATCAGAACTTCTTGTCTTTCATCAAGAAGCAGCATGAGGCCAAGATACCCTATTCTCTTCTCAGGAAAACCAGCAGATGCAATCAACTTCAGGCACTCCATTTGACCAAAATGGGTGGGATAACCCAACATGTGGATAAACATGAGCTTAGCAAGGTTACGATGCCTGTAGTCATGATCATTTTCGTTTATAGCTGCACGGATTGCAGCACATTCTTTTCTTACAACAGCACGTTCCTCTGCCGCAGTTTTGCAAGCACGTATAGCCCGAATCATGTCCCTGCATTTGGACAGTAAGTGCCACATAACATATTACACGTGTTATTAGGTTAACATTTATGCATGTCAATCATCTTGCATTAAGGAAAATATCCTAACAAGGTGATAACTATTTAGTATTTACTGTTTTGGGTACATCATTCATAAACAATATGAAGTTCCTTTAACAAACTTCATGAAAATAGATTAAAAAGTAGAACAAGAAATTCTACGATTTGGAAACTATATAGGTTGTGAGATCCAGAAAGCAATTCCTTCTACAAGACTTGGATATTTGAAATCACTTCGGGTCTGTTTGGTATCCTATTTGAAATTTTTTATCATTTCTTACGAACATTTCTTGAAAACAATTTTCTTAAGACTCAAAAACTTGATTGGTTTGCGATTTAAAATTTTTAAATCTTACGACTTAAACAAAACAAAGAGATCTAAAAAGAGGGGTCGCAGGAGAGGTAGAAAGAGGAGAGAGGAGGAAAGAAAGTAAGAGATGATTGAAGGAAAGAGAAAGAAGCGAGAGGATCGGACGAGATAGAGAGGAAGAGGAGTGAGAGAAAGAACCGAAAGAATGAAGTGGATTGGAGGAAAGACGAGAAAGGTAAAAAAAAAAAAAAAAAGAGGAGAGAGAAAGAAGAAAAGAGAGAGAGATTTTGGAGTGAGAAAGGGGGGGGGAGGGAGAGAAAAGAAAGGAGTGAGTTTAAGTTTAAAAACTCTAAAAACTCACTTTTTATGTTTTTAGAGAATAAACTATATTTTTTAGTTAGTCTTAAGTTCAATTTTTGAAAATAGTTATACCAAACAAGTTTTTAAGGCCCAAAACTTGAAAATTGTTTTTGAGTTGAAAAAGTTGGATTCAAGTAAAGTACCAAACATACCCTTCATTTTCCAGCCAATCCCAGTTTCTAAGAGGAATGAGAAGTTTTGACACATTGTAACTTAAATACTTCAACATTGTGCCTTCATGGACCTAAAGGCCATTAACTTCAGCTGACTATTAGTTTTCATTTCTTTCAAGCTTTCTACTGAACTATTCTGAATGAAAATAATATCATAATAGCTAGTTCTTAGTAAAGAGAGATAAGGTGGAATCTGAGATATGTTAGAACTCTGACATCGCAATTTCACTTAGTGTTCAATTTTTTTCTGGAATCTATCAAAGATCACGTTGAAATTTCAACAGCTAATATGTGCCACCTTGCGTAGCTAATACTATTGACATTGCTTTAGGATCGCAAACCTAATTCAGAACAGTAATTAGTTCCCTAGTGGCAGCTGATCACCCTTCAAGCACTGGAACCATCAGAGTGCCATGGAATCCTTCTATCAAGCTACACCATGATTCATGAGTCTCTGATGATGTTAAGAGGTACCACATTGCTAATAATGTATTACTTCCAACATAAAAATAGGGTTCACACTTCTAAGTGGTATTAATGAAAAAATGGTAAAATTCTAGCACTTGATGAGCTCTGAAATTTACAAGATTTTCTCAAAATACAAAAACCTTGATGTCCCATGCATCGTTTTACTCATGAGTCATATCTATGTACTAAGGCAGAAAGCCAAAATAGACCACTCCACAAGAAGAACCTACCCCCTTTGACAAGGCCGAACGCCCTTTAATATACTACATCCCAATGGAACTGCAGAGTAGAACTATGCTTCCCTAACATAGAGTTTACACTAAACGAACTTGGACAATCACCTTGTCGACACTTTTGCTCCTTCTAATAAGAATCTTCACAAGAACAAACCCGGCGCTTCTACACCTTCTGAGAAATTCCTAAGAACTAAAGATCAGGTATTCTCCTTCCAAAGAGGCAAACACCAGCCTATGATGCCGCAAAAGATTACACACACCAAAGAACAATACAATTAGCTACGTAGTGCACAAGTCCACACATTCCAACATTTACTTAGGTAATTTAAACTAACCACCCCTGATGGAGAAATGAACCCCAACACGCATTTCGCAATAGAAGCAGCTCCCAGCTAGTTGGACCAACCCTACTAAAATTGATAGATCATAGAACCGAATCGTAAGCCAGTAATTTCGGCTCCAATGGACTCCTAACTACACAATTACCCAGCGGCGATGCCGAATCCTCCCGAATCTCGAAAAATAGAATCGAAAACGAACCGAATTTCACAGAATTAAAGAATGAATACATTCGTATTTGAAATTCAAGAAGTGATCTGACAATTGGGAAATAAGTAAGGGTTTGGTGGATTGTTACCTCAGGCGTGTTCCGGACGAGAAGGGATTCATGATTGGGTCCGTGGTTGAAGCTCCGGGAAAGCTCTATCGGATCCGCAAATGGCAGGCAAACCTAGCAGCAGCAGGCGATCAACCAACTGATTCGGACGGCAAATTGGACAGTCCGAATTCGGAATACGGGATCCGAATAAGTTATCTGAGAGATCTGGGGACGAAGTGTAGAGAGAGAGAGGAAGAGAGATTCGGATCTGAGAGAGAGAGTATTTTGTGACGAGTTTTTCTCTCTTGTTTCAGGGTCTCTTCCTTCCACTTACCATGAAAATGCTCCCTCTTTTTTTTCCTTTTTTTTAACCATGAAAATGCTCTTTTTTTTTCTTTGTAAAACAGAAAATAAAAAAATTAATAAAAATGTGCACCAAAAAAGAAAAAGAAAAAGAACTTATATTATAAACTGCGCACGTCAATTGTCTGCGAGTAGCGATAGGGTTACGCGCTGTTGTGAGTTGGATGGGTCACCCTTGCCTTTGGCATTCGGTAGATGGACATTTCTCGGTTGCTAATACAATAACAACAATCACCATTCACTAAATGAGATCTGCTATATGAAACATAAAACATCATTACATTCAGTTTTGCATAAAGTCTTTCATTAATTTTAAGCACTTCATATCTTTTCTTATAATCTCTTGTCTTCTTAACTTCGTATATGTAAATTTATCTTACACTGTCGATCCCAAACTTGATAAAGAGAAGGAAAGAGTGCATTAGGTAGTCAGCAGTTGAGTTCTTCACGTCGACTACTTATAATATGAATCTTAAACAAAAAAGAAGCCAATATTGTAACAATTTGTAAATTTAAAAAGCTAGATTTAAAATTTTGAAAACATGGATGAAATTGTTATCAAGCCAAAATCACGATGGTGCAAAATGTAATTTACCCCTTTCATTTATATATGCATATATTATAGTTCTTCCTTTTCAATGGATTTGATTGGCGCGATAACTATGGAACTTGGGGTGACGTGGCGCGAATCCGGGCCTAATCATCCGACGGTCTGGATGAGCGGTTGCCCTCTATATGTCCCATTCTACTTCACGGTGAAGTCTTCACCCACCTAGTTCGGCAAAGTTTCCGCTGCCACTTCTGTCACGATCAATGGCGTTACACTGCCAGTCCTCCGCCGCCGCTCTCTTCGTCTTCCTCCTCAGCCTCGCCTCACCTCAAGGTAAAACAGTAATTTCTCAACTAAAAGCTCCGAAATTAAACGAAAGTATTTTTATTTGCGTTTCACTCCCTCAATTTCCATGTGTTTCCGTTTCAGTCTCCGCCGACGTGGTGCTTGAAGACGGGTACACCGTCACGACGGCGATCGACGGCCACAAACTCGGCGTCAACCCGCACTCTGTGCTTGCTCGCCCTGGATCGTCCGATCTTCTCGTCCTCGACTCTTCCGGTAGTGCCGTCTACACCGTACCATTTCCCACGCCCGGATCCCAAGGTAAGTTCGAAACAGTAAAAGTAAAACTGTCGGCTTCCAATTTCCATGTGTTTACGTTTAACGACGAGTCGTAAAGTTTCAGAGAGTGTGATTAAACGATTATCCGGCAACGGCGACGGATATTCGGATGGGGAGTCGGGTTCGGCCCGGTTCAAGAAGCCCCGGAGCTTCGCCGTGAGTCCGAAAGGAATCGTCTTCGTCGCCGATAAGGGCAATGGCGTCATCCGAAAGATAAGCGCTTCAGGTGACCTGAGAATCTCTCTTTTTTCTAGGGTTTAACTAGCGTGGCATAATCGTGAATACTCACTCAATTCTTTGTTTTTTGCTGCTGCGTGTGTAGGTGTGAGCACGATTGCCGGAGGGTACTCGCAGAAGCCTGGGCGCGAGGACGGCCCTGCTCAAAACGCAACGTTTTCGCCGGATATTGAGCTGGCTTTTGCTGCTGATCAGTGCATGCTGCTGGTCTCTGATCGCGGGAATCAGTTGGTCCGGTTGATTCGTCTCAAGCCGGAGGATTGCTACGGGACTTCTTCGTCCAGTGAGTTTTTTCTTGCTGTTGCAGTAGTTCATTTGGGGATTTGGTTTTATTTTAACAATACAATCATTATGTTATGCAATTTGCAGAGCTTGGTGCCGTTTCGGTCTGGATTATGGGTATCGGATTGTCGTGTGTTTTTGGAATTGTTGTTGGGATTGTGATTCGGCCTTATATTTTACGCAATGTAAGTGTTTGATTGCTTGTTTGTGGTGATTTGAATTTCAAGATCGTAACTTTTATCGCAATGTGTCTAATGTTGTTAACTGGAACTTGTTAGACAGGACAAGCGGCTCGGCTCCCGCGCGACATCGAAGCGCTGCCGAATCTATCTGGGGAAGCAAGTGTCACAGACACTTTGCTTCGCCTGGAAGCGCTGCCGAATCAATCTGGGGAAGCAATTAGTACAGACACTTTGCTTCGCCGTCAGAAGCGCAACTGCTAGCTCAGCCCCTGTTTCGTCGCTGTTGAGGCGGCTGTATCTGTTGGGCATGTCCCATCTTTCTCTTATGTTTAGGATTAACTACGTAGAGGAGTCCTGGGTTTCACCTAAGGAGTGTGTGTCTTTGCTTGATTCCGATGTTGATAACAGTAGTAGTAGTTGTTTTGAGATAACAGAGTCGTCGTCGTCCTCCAAGTATGTGGATCAGCTTAAGGAACTGGTGGGTTTCGATGGAAGCCTGGAGCTGCGTAGCATGAAGGAAGGAGAAGGTAATGATGGGAGGAGTGGTGTGTTATCTGGCTCTCATGGAAGAATAGAGGGTATGATGGACAGTAATATTGTGGGATTTGTGGAGGGAGCTAAAGAAACTCTTCTGGTGGATGGGGCTTTGGGCGGTAATTCGGGTTTAGTTAAAAGGAGACGAAGTGAAAAAACTTGAAGAAAGACATATGTTTCATGTATATTTAGAGGCTTGTGTATGTTTTGAATCTGTTTTTGTCAGTTATAAGTCTGGCTTATGGCATGTTAGTCATTATGTGCGACCAACCATTTAGGTCCATTGCTTCTATTTTGAGAAACTCTGTTTGATCTCCATAAATTCTACGATGCTCTGGAGTATAGGATATTCTCGGTGTTTCTTGGTCCATGGATAGCCGAGTGTTCTAATTAGAAACACGTTAAAAAATTTATTAAAATCCAAGTGTTTCATAAACATGAAAAGCACCTGGATCTGCTTCCTCCTAAAAAGCATTTCTCCTGACTTAAAAGCACTTTCAAGTTTTCTGGCAAACTAGTCGGAAACAATTTTGTTGTTTATCGCATTTATGACCCTTTCAGAAATCACCTCAAACAAGCACTTAGTAAAGCATAAAAGAATATCACATTTATCAGCATAATCAAGTTTGCTAAAGCAATGTGCTACGCTTCTACACCCAAATTTGGATTTCCCTCCCACTCGAACAAAAAATATTAAAAAAGAAGACAACATTCCTTGAATAAGAAGAGGAATTATATTAGAGGGCAAATATTCTTGAACAGAAGGTCCTCAATATTTGACCAGAGTGAGATACCTCACATTGCAAAAAAACTGAAAACCTTCCACATAAAACTTACAAGGAATATGGTACTGCCTATAACCTAAATTTTAAGGATTTATATTAAGAATATAACAAGGTCAAAACTATGCTTCTCTCTTATGTATATGATCAATAATAGCCATGGGTATAGCCGTTCGGATTGATTCGGGAGCGGAAACTGTGGTGATTGAACATGGGAGCTCCGTAGTCAATAGGCTTTATGACCACAGCTTCACCCTTCCCATCCTGCTCCTGAACTGCACCAAACACAACCTCAGTGGTATTCTCACTACTCTGCTCGTAGAAAGTATTTGGGGTTGATGATTGGTACCGATGATAGTGCTGTTGCGGTTGTTTTTGCTGCTGCTGCTGCTGCTGCTGTTGTTGCTGAAGATTATCCCACCCATTATAGAAAACTCGACTTTGCCGCAACTGATGGATTGTTTCTGCATCCTTGGCCATGAATGGGTAGGTTTTGCGAGGGGTGGAAGTTCGGGTTTCAATGGAAGGTGGCTCATCCTCATCTGGTATCACATAGCTATCTTGCACAGGCCAGGAATTTGGGTGCTTCTGTTGCTGACTTTGGTATTGGTAGTTCAGATGCTTTTTCCTGAAACCTGGAAATATAGCCCCCAGAATTTCCATACCACATGCCCCGGCATTGACCAAAAGATTCCCAAGAGATCCTAAGAAGCCTTCTTCTTGCTTCTCCTGCTCATCTTCAGGAATCAAAGGTGGCCTGACTGATGTCAGAGGCTTCTGGTATGAACTTGGAGGAATGCTTGTCTTCATTGGTTCTTGATCCTTCAAAAATGCAATATAAAAGGTATGAGAGAATGTTTCATGCTATCATACAAGATACTACAAATCTTGATCTTTGATGTTAAATGGCCGAAACCATGCGTGGAAGTTGCAATGTCAGGAAGGTAGCGCACAAAGAGTTTTCTCTCAAGTATCAATACTACTTCACAATTTTAAATCCCTAGTCCGCATACATTCCTACGAGAATGACGGGCGCAAACTACACAGAGCCAACATCTACCCCAGAAGTAGATGTCACTAAAGTAAATAGATGGAAAGACTGAGTACTCACATTTTGGGAAGAGACAATTGTACCAACTCTACGTTGTAGCAATGCTAACATATAACCAAAGAAGCCAGCCCCAATAAGCATTGCAATCCCTGCAATGATGCAAATCAGTACCCATGTATTTCTACATATTTATTATTTGCAACGTTCAAGAGAAAAGATTAGGGTAAAATAAGTTACCAAGGGGGAAACCACTTCCATATTGATAAGCACAGTCATCAAAATGTAGTTGGATCTCCCTGATTGCTCGATTTCCTCTGTCTATGACGAGCAAGGAGCAGCTGCTTCCAATGTAAACCACATCAAAGTCGTCAGAAAACTTTGCATCTTCACTTGGTCCATCCACATGGCTTCCCCCACGGCCCGATTTCCCTCCTGCTATTGTTGTAACCCCTAACAGCGGAAATTTCAATGGCATCAAAATTAAACATCTTCCTCCTAACTTTATTGGAAAACAAATCTTATAATGTTGATGGTGGTGGGTACTAAAATAACAAACTACTGTAACGATTCTTGCGAGAACAAGCATATATGTGTATATTTATACATACAAATATAACTGGGATATACTACACTAGTATCTGTCAGAAGGAAACAATGAAGAAAGAGGAAGCAAATCTGCTTTATAATGATATGCTGAACATAAATAAATAAACCAATTCTTAAACAAATCTAATATAGAAATTACCGGCATTGCTTATCTTCCTGATTGCCATATTCATTGTGTCTGCAACATAAATGTTTCCACTGTCATCAACTGTAAGCCCCCTTGGGTGGTTCATTCTTGCCTCTCTGGTCCTTCCATCTACATGTCCCGGGTTTCCATCAGAGGATCCTGCAACCAGCTTTGGTCTGCTGTCTGCATTGTTCCGATGAAATAGAGTAAACATATTAGAGATATGCAAGCTCTAAACAGTTCAATGTATCAAAACAGGAATACAGGAGCCGATTTTCATGAGGAGAAGCTTGCTTTCAAATGTTTAAATTTAATAATGTTTGTAGCATGGAGTAGACTGAAGACATCAACACAATATAGCATGCTTCCAATAAAGATCAAGGCAATCTCCAGTTTAGGGAATACGATATCAATATAAAAGCAGGACGTTCTGTACTTTTTGGATCCAGAACACATTTTAGTAATATTGCACCCGGGAAGTAAAACCATGAATCAAAGTAAACAGCAAACATAATAAAAGAAAATTGCATTCGAACAATGCGCAAATACTTGTCAATCAAGACCACTGGCTTCAAAGATCCACTCAAGTATACAAAATTCGTAAAATGTGAGTCCCTCAGTAACTCGGCCTGACAGCAGATTGTGCGAAAATACTTCATAGATTGCAAGTTCAATTAAAACAACAAAGCAATTTTTCAAGGCATTGCACAGGACAAAACCAACTTACACAGAGACAGAGAGGAAGAGATCCTATAAAGGTTGCTATTAGCAGAATCCAAAATCAGAAGCTCCCCACTTGGCAAAACCTCCACAGTGTAAGGCTCAATACCAAGCTTGCTTCCATCAAACACCGTCTCCACGTTAAACCCACTCTCAAACTTCATCACCGGACGGCCCGAAACCGCTGCACATGGAAAATTTTCATAAATCCCCAACATTTCAGATTGCAACACAATAAACCCTCAAAAGCTAAAAAAAACAACAATAAAATGTGGGTAGCTTCAGAGATCTAGACCTGTTTTGGTAGTTGCTTTGAGTGACCACACCCGTTTCATGAAAGCAGACGCAGCATTTGAGAAAAACCCACCAACAATCTCTGAAAACATACAAACAAACAAAAAAGAAGCCATTTTTTAATAAAAACAAACCAAAATTCCACAATCAAAAGCAGATCGTACAGAAGCTGAGCAGAGTCACATACATATATATATTTTTTAATAAAAACAAACCAAAATTTCACAACCAAAAGCAGATCGTACAGAAGCTGAGCAGAGTCACATATATCTTTATATATATATACACACACACATACTATTATTGGTACTGTAACAATCTAATTGTCCACTCAAGTATTTTCTTTTTAAATATAGAAAGTCTGAAGAGCACAATATATAAACAATCATACATAAACTCAGGAGTCGCTTACTAGCTGGGGCAGTAGGGGCAGCGGACGATACGCCGCCAAACAGAACCAAAACGATGAGAGTCGCCGCCAAGAAACTCCGACCCATCACTCCTGTTCTTCCAGTGGAGCCCACAACACCAAAAAGCTGAAACATTCAAGCTGCCAGCATTGTGAGAAACCCTAAATCCTATCCGCGGTTTTTGCAAAATGTGGGCGGTAAGAGGCGAGGGATGCTTTTTCCTCAGATGGTTTCTGGGTTTGGAGCAAAACCCAGTGTGCTCCTCGCGAGTGCAAAATCGCCCGTGTGTGAAAGGATGAAAGAGACGAGGATGAAAAAGGAGAGAGGAAAAAGGCAAAGGGGTAGAGAAAGAAAGAAGGAAAGAATTGAAAAAGCAGAGATGCAGTGAGGGTCACTGAATCCGAATCGCTCAATGCCTCAGTGGGGAGAGGGGGGTGGGGACTAAAGAGCCAACGGTCTGAGAGTGTGAAAGAATGTGAGAGTGATTGTGTCATGGAAATATTATTTTACTATTTTTTCATTGAAATACTTTAATTTATTCGACCCTAAGATATGACATGTTACGTTGTCCAGCTGGAGAGATTTAATCGTGATAACTCATCTAAAACGGAAGTGTCAAAAAGTATCTTAAACATATCATGTGTCATTACTTTCTCGTATTGTAAGCTTATTTAACTGAAGAATTATAAAGGGAGAGAGAGGGTGATGGTGCGGCGGCAAGGGAGGAGAGAGAAGGTGAATTATCTCACCCGTTGTACCTTTATTTATAATAATCCGAAAGAAAGATTCTTGTCTTTCAAGTAATATATCTAAAACAGGAAACTATCTAAAAAATTTTACAGAATTCCAATAAAATTTACACAATAATATTCTTAACTAAATTAACACTGTAACATAAATAGTTTTTTTTTCTTCTTTTTTTCTTTTTATAAATACAACTAATCATGCAACATTTCTTCTCCACCTAAAATCCCCTCCACGTCCCTTTCTTACAAAATAATTTTTTAGTAATCAGATCCGACATGTTATTATCGTTGTTTGTAGTTTACTTGTTATTATTAATGTTTGTTTAGTGTTGTAATTATAATTTAAACATTATTGCTACAAAAAGATGTGACTGCAATTAATATATTGACGGGCTGATGTCACCAACTCTTCTAAGGAAACATAGGCCCATTTCGGGCCCAACAATGTTAGATTGGCAAATGGAAATCTTCACCTACCCAGCCTTGTGCTTGAATCCAACAGTCCTACAACTATAGGGAGGTCGAGGACTAGGCAGCCCACCAAACGTAGGGTTAAAAATTTGAAGATGGGTAGTTTAAGTGGTTAATAACATTTATTTATGTATTCGAAGTT